ATCGATCCTACTTTTCGACCCTCCAAAGCCACAAAACAACATTGGAAAAACACAGTGTTTCGCGACTTTTCTACTTTTTCGCGCACCTGCATCTTCTTTCTTCTGACTCTTTCTCTTCTCTAATCTTCTTTCTTTGTCCTTTCTCTCTCTGACTGCTCTCACCTCTGCTGCTGCATCTATCTATAAGTCGGAAGTTTGACTTCTAATCTTCATTCGACAATGACCAAATCTTGATTCAGAAACTTGGAAGTGAGTTTTAAGCTTCGATCTTGATGTGTTTAAGTTCATCCCTTTCAAAACGCCCATGTTTCCACTTTCCAACCTAGACTTGAAGATCACCAGAGGCAAACAAACATCCCTTTTGTAAATCTGATACCACTGGATCCCAATAGGATCTCATTTGGGTCACTGGATGAGCAACGAGGCCATTGCTGACACCTTGCAGCTCAGCTGTGTTCGTGTGAAGTTTCAGAAAGACGAACGAGTTAGAAGAGTATCACTTCAGTCGGTTGACCCAGATTTCAAATGTCCCAAATCTGTCAAATTTAACAGTGACATGACGATTGATCGACTGTTACCAGCGTGAAAGCGTGTTGCGTATCTGATGTTCCCAAAGTAAGAGAGAGCAGACCGCCACAAGAGGTGATCCCATAGTCAAGTGTGGATCAAAATGAACACCAGGAAAGTAAGCACAAATACATACAAAATCATACAAATACCAAACACTCAGCATAGTTTTGCTATTCTTAAACATACTGAACAAATCGAAACATTCGAAACAACATTAAACAAGCCGAGACCCATCGAAACCCTCCAAGCCGCAGCTGATGCCAAGGAGCAGAAACCAGGCCACCCACATAGCTCCATCCCTTGCCGCTGCTCAATAGAACCTGAGGCGCCAGCGGCTGAAAAGTGATGCCTTATGACAAATGTGTGAGGAAAACATAGGAAGACCATGGAAGACCTAAAGGTTGTTGGTTAATGTTGGTTCTGTGTTGGTTACGTGTTGGTTACGTGTTGGTTGCGTGTTGGTTACATGGATCTCTTCCCACTTCATCCATCATCCTACTCCAACAGCATCTGACTTTGGGCAGCAAAGCCTTGGTGCAGGATCCAAGTTTCCCACTGTCAGCGCAATCAGCTGGACGCGAGTTAAGAAATCCTGGTACGTCCGTGGCTAGCAGGCAGACTTTGAGTAGACTTTAGATGGACTCAACATGTTGAGCATGGGAGTCTTTTTGGCCTAGAATGACGATTTTTTGGCCTCTCTCTCTCTCCCACAAGCACTAGCCAGCGGAGCGGTGGACAGCAAGAGAAAGTACCTTGGATTCTTGGATAGCCACTGAGTCAAGCTGGACTCGTACAGACCTGTAGCAGTTCCAACCAAGAAGTCCTAGCAATTTCCGGGGAAAACTATGTTGAATCAGTGCAGCTCCGGTGCGACACCAGAATCATCAGTGCCTCAGACCTTGGAGTGACGACAACTCTCCAACCTCACCTCCACGTCCTGCGCTGTGATGTCTCGGATGTCTCGGATGTCTCGGGCTCCGGGCCAACTAGCGGCCGTTTGTAGCAAAATCACCAGTCGAGGGCACGACTCTTCAGTGATCTTGAACTGATCCTGAGCAGTTTTGCTGCTCCCAAAGGAATGAATGCATTTACTGGTGCTGCACATGTTGGTGCTTTCATTCCCTTTTATTCATCTAAGCGTCGTTCGCAAAGAATGCAAAGATGGACTGCACTGCCAAGCACGAATCGTGGAAATGGTAGCAACATGTCACACAGTATCAGGCTTTGAAGACTGCCTTCTCATTTCCCCATAAAGCACGAGGATTCAACGTGATTCAACGAAATGCCACTACAGTAAAGCAAATGCAAATTGAAAGTCGGCAGCTTGTACAGCCAATGTGGCTGGCACAACACAAAGTTGATATCATGATATCCTCTATTTTGGGGGAGAATACTCTGCACCAAGCATCCCGCAAAGGAAAGGTGACCTTCAATGGGAAATCTTCTTGCACTGGTTGTTGATTTTCTGCAAGCACTCCGCTGCCGCTGGTTGCTTCATGGAGCCTGAGAAGTGGGTCATGTTTCAGCTTTAATCAGAGGAACATTTCTTTCTTTACATTTATGTTTACATAAAAACCGTGCATGCGGATATGTTATATATATATGGAGGTTTCCTCAAATGGGGGCCCTAAATCATCCATTTGAATAAGGTCGTCCACTATAGACCATCCATTTTTGGGGCTACCTCCATTTATGGAACATATGTATCTCTATGTGTGTGTGATTCTACATGCACTATATCATACACCTACAATCGTCCACATGAGTCAGTTTCCTCAATGATCTGAAAAAAACCACAGCTCTGCGTCCAATGTCATTCCATTGAAGCCTCGCTCCCAAACTTCCGGAATTGGACCTGTCGGAGATCCAAGGAGCCGAGTACCACGCTGGTTGGTGATGGTGCATCCCTCTGTGCCATGAATCTTGGTCTTCAACTCCTCCTCCCATTGATCGCTCCACTGCACCGTCTCAACATGGCCCTGAGTCCTGGAAAACAACGCTGGCAGGGCAAGGGCATCAAGGTCTACCAAAATGATATGGTGTAATCATGGCTTCACCATGTCTATAGTGACAAACATGGCCAAATTTTAGTCTCTGGGTCTGAAGAAGATCTATATAAGATGATCTAATCCATACCCAGATATACCCAGATATTAATCATGACATGAAGTGCAGCCCACCCAACGAGAGTGTAACAACACTGCTGGGGATATGAGAAAAAAAAAACCTCCAAGATCTATCCGAAGTATCCAAGACTACTAGGAAAAGGCATGACTAACTTATTGCAATGAATTCAAAGTACGGCGGGCTCCACTTGGTGTTTGGGCTCTACAATCCATATAACCGGGGCAAAGTACACGAGCATATCTATACAATTTAGATATTCCGTCGGACAAGTACATCCAACACGCGCATACAGGGGTATAAATCAGGAAGGCTCAAAACTGCAGTCCCGAATTGACCATGTGTCAAGCCACTAATAACGCGAACTATAAGCCCAACACTTGAGACTCACAAGCAAATTTTCAACGTCTGATAAAACAGTACAGGTGAAGATCTTGCTTTTTAGCATGCCAAGGAGGGCACATCCATGCCTTCTCTTCCCAACCCTACCCTCAGCTCTGAAACATTGAAATGACCGGTTTACAAGATCTATTCTTCGGGGTGTACAGCAAGTCATTTGGCGCATCAAGTATTTCATGAATCAAACTTAAACAGAAGACTGGAAAACAGGTGGCGGTCCAAATGTTGTAGCCTTTGCACAAAAAGCCTTGGGTCAGGATCAACAAAAAGTTGCGAAAAAGGCTGATCTTCTGACATTGGCTATGATCTGTGTGAACATTGGAAGTGAGTTCCTTCGATTAAGGAATGGAGTTACAAAGGTGTTTAAAGAAAAGTACAGAAAAAATGAAGCAGTTGAACAACAAAATCTTCAGTCGCAGATATGCAATTTCAATCTGGGTAGCACAAGATGCTTAAGTCCTGAAAACACAACAACGATGCAAAGAAGTCCAAATGACTTTCTCATCATTCTAGGTTGTACAGTCATCAGCCAAGGCCATCAGCCAAACCCAAACAGCAATGTGATCGATGACTCATTGCACCAAGATGCTTGAGACGAACATGAGGGCCACCATCATCATTAATTTCCTGCAATCAAATTGGGTATGGGTCACAATTGAAGTACGAATTGACACACTTACAGTAAGTGATCATTTCTTGTATAAGACCATCAGTTTTTGGTGGTCAATAGTCTTCATCCACCAATCATCACAGTGCAGGCTGCAAACATCTGCAAACCACATCAGTGCAGAAGCTCAATGTTTTTCTTCCTGGTTTCTCCTTTCCACTCGTTTCCAATGTGAGCAGATTGGTATGTTGGGATGGTCCAACGGGGAAACGGGGAAACACTCAACATCTCCGTTGATCATCGATCCGTCGGCCATCGCAGGTCCTCTTCGCATCATCGGTCAACGCTTGGTCCAATGCCAACATCTCCCATAGAACCTCTGCGGCACAGGCCCCAACGGTTTACCAGCAATCTCCCGAACACATTTTGAGCTACACGAAACTAGCATATTTAATATTTATGCATATGAATATGTCATATATTTGCTGTCTAGCAGTGCCAAACCAACCGTCAATAGAACTTCTAGCAGGGCTTAGCGCAGATAAAGGGGTCGAGAAAAACTCTGGGTGATGCCAACAACCAATCAAGCTCAAAAAGGCTTTGTGCAGATGAACTGAATTACCATTAATCCAGACTTTAAAAATTCCAACTGATACAATTACCATTAATCATCATTAATCAGCTAAGAATACCACCACTTTAGACTCTTCAGACATCATAATGTACTGCACATGCCATTGGACTTTACTCATTTATACTGATTTATAAAGTGATTTATACTATTTTGTACTGATACCGATACCTTTCCAAAATCCATGTCCCGACCCGATATGTCCCGGCAACTGCCAAGTCCGGTGCCAGGTCCGCCCCCCAGAGGCGCCTCGTGCTCCGCTTCTGGGAACTGTTCTTCTATCCACGACTGGCAGCGCGGCATCAACAGAAGGAACCGAAGCGGCAACCTCGCTACAAAGTGGCTGCGGTGGCTCCGGTTTGTCGTTTAGCGATGTTGAGGCCCTCTGGCCCTCTGTTCAATATCACTATTGGTTATTTATTGTTCTTTTGGGCCATCCTTTGAAATGGGATGGAACAGAAAGAATAGCTTATACTTCTTTTTTCTTTCCATTCACCAAGCAGTCAGCTCATTTCAGCCGGGTTGAGATCCTCTGGTTGATCCCAAGTAACTGCAGGGCAGCCACCAAGCAAGTCAAGGTCAACACCAGGGAACGACATCGAAGCAAACTGAACTGCTCCTCAGGGCGAGAATAAGATGGGAGTCGAAGGCTGACCCTCCCATGCTTGGATATATCTGAACCTAATGTTGCCACTGGATGCCACTGGCCGGGGTCAGGATACCCCAGTTGTTTTCGGTGCTATAGATTGACCGACCGTCAAAGCATTCGTGTCTCAACCGGAAACCTTCAGAAGTCAGGGCATGTCTCAAGCAGTTTCTTTAAAAGGAAAACCATGGGAGGTTGCGAATGCAGGGGCTCTGAAATGTGTCTGGTTCTGGCTAGGTTGAACGAAATCTCATACAGTACACTCAGTACACCAGGTCCATCCACACTGTTGCATTGGCAATGGCCAAAATCTGGCAAAGTCTGACAACCAAAAATAATAGACACAAAATACATCCAATCAGCAAATGCTGATCCTCTTGGTGGGGACTTTTTGTTGCACATTCAAACCGTGCAGCTTTCAAGAACTATTTAAGAAACCATAGCATATTATAGCATCTTGTAGCTTCTTTCTCCTGGTTTCTTATGTTTGTTCATAGTGATTCCCAGTGGCAAAAAATCGCAATACCATCATTACCATCCCCCACACCTGTTTTCACGTTCCAGGCTCCACGGCTGCCATGGCTACAAAGAGCACAAGCACCACGAAGGAGAAAATGGACACCTCACGGGAGCTGCTTCAGCGGTTTTTCGCACCGATTCTCGGTAGGTTCAAACACTGGAGTCACACAGCACTGGGTATATATTGATGTATTATTGATGTATATTATTGTATGTATATATGGGTATATTATGGGTATATTGATGTATATTGTCACGTGAGGAGCGGACAATTTGTTTATTACTCGCAATGGACATGGCCAAAGTGGGTGCAACCCCAATCGGTTGTGCAGGTTTTCCATACAAATTTGAACATCCCAAGGCCACTCCCTCCTTTTTGTTAGTTTTCCGCTAATATGAACGGCCGTCAAAATTGATTGTTTCGGCCAAGTGCGTCATCAGCAAATCTTTGGAAAGATCATGGGGCCGCTCAGCAGGCTGCTGACTTCAGAATTTATCCAGCCAGCAGCATACCAAATTTAAATGTGATTCCATCCCTACGACATACTACCAAGGTTCACCATCTGTTTTGTGATCAGTTGGTCATCCACAACGGTTTTGGAAGATTTGTGTATCGTTTGGGTATTGTTTTGGGTATGGTTCTGCGCGGGCTCCATCTTTGCAAGTCACGCGTGCACGAGACTGAGCACCAACAGGTTACCACACCAAGCGTGGTGGGGTTGACGGCTGAGATTTGTTTACTTACAAAATTGAAAAACGGGGGGGGAGGGCCTCGACAAAATCACGAACATGGGTCAAATCAGACCCCGCATTCTGGAAAAAATCAACCCCATTTTTTCAAAGCACTTTGTCCTGTTGTAATTACCATCTTTCTGGTTCTAAAAAATCCTAACCCTGGGTCAGATCCTCACACATTAACATTGTCTGACCCCAGTATGTTGGCATAGGTGAGTCCCCAAAAAAAAAATGGATTTTGTGAAGCTGTCAGAAACCATGAAAAAAATAAAACTCGAGAGAATATAAAGAATATTGAATCAACTTGCTTACGTGAATGGCCTTCATAAATGTCTACCCTACTTTTTGCCTGCAACCCCGTCGCACATGTTTTTTGTTTTTTTTTCGCTGTGTTTTTAGCGCTTGCGCCCCAGACTGGCCACTACAAAATCAAAAATCCTAAGCATACCACACCAAGCCTATTATATAATACACATTAATACATATTAATACATAATAATACCATATAATACCATTCAATGGTATTCACGGTTCAAGACCATGAAAAACCCACCACAACAAAAACTCTTACAACATTGCATGTCATTTGATTTGTCATAATATTTTTTTAATATTACCATAACTTTAAAAACAGTGACAATACCAGTAATAACAATGATATAGCAGTAATCATAATGTGGTACAATCAAGCCCAATCGATTGACCTTGATTGATTTGGTTGATGGTTGAGCCATGTTCAGGACGCGGTTGGTTGTAATATGTTGTAATTACATACAGTACGAGGCATGGACCGCGGCCGTAGACCCATCCACCACCCTGTGAAGGCAGCGTTGGGAACAAGTTCCCAACATGTTCCCAACTGCCCACCAAATCCATGCAAGGGCACCGGCTTCAGCATTACCGCAACGAACATGAGCACCATGGGGACAAAAATGCCCAACGTACTCAGGAATTGTGCTAGTAGAGAAGTGGTCTTCATCATCCTCAGCTTACGACATCTTACGACTTGGAGCTCCAGGCTGAGTGCCCCATCATGCATCGGTCACGCCACAAGCGTGGTATCTGAGGCCACTGAGTGTCCCTGTATGACGATCTCAGCCAAGCTTCGAGCCAGGAGATTCCACGCATGCCCTGAAGACCCAGACCTATGTCGGCTGTGTCGGCTGTGTCAGCTGTGTCGGCTGTGTCGAAGTCGTCCAGACACAAACTCAGGGGTTGATGCCAGTTGATGCTTTGAAAAACTTGCGTGCCTGCACTGCAGCCAGAGCCGAGAGCATCACAAAGTTTGCTGCTTGTGGCAGCTCCCGGGTAAGTCCCAGTTGCGGATATGTCTCAGTTGCAAGGACCTCCCGTGACGAGCGGTGTGTTGATCCAGGTGGTGGAAGGAGGAGTCGAATCATCCTATTACCATCCAATCTTCCTTATCTTCCTTGGCTATCCTCACCCGCCCAAGTATATAAAATATTGTGAGATTATGTAAGCTATTTAATATCCGGAAATCTGGATGTTCAGAATGAAGTTCAGAACAGCCAGGACTGAAGCCATTTGCATCTGCCAAGTCTACCACACCTGCCACACCATTTGCAGAACCGCGGAGGCTGTCGACAAGGAGAACAGCGTCCACCAAACCCAGGCATGTCCGCGGGTGCCATCCTGATTGCAGGGGGGGCCACACGGGGAGGAAAGTATCAGACTAGGGGTCAAAACCCTGGCACCCTGAACACCAAAATAGCATAAAATAGCTGGGAGTTATGGATCTTTATCCCCCCAAAGATGGATGTAGGTTTTGACCGATTCCGATTTTATAGTGCGCAAATGTGGGTGAAATCCTTTACACCTGATAGATCCTGATAGGGCATCACGCTGCCTAGTCAAGATGCTGCGAGTAAAGTTATATACCAATAGCTGGAGGTTTTTCAGGGAAGAATTCCAGCCCGTCGTATGTCAAAGTCATTTGATCTCAAAGGAGATGTTCCGGTAGCCTATGCATTGTGTGTGTTCCCCGGGCTCCCCATCCGGCGTTTCTCCCGGAAGCTTAGGCTCCCATCCACAGTTTTGCTTTGAGATGTAGCCACTGAAAGCCAGGAGCAAGGTCCAAAGCCTCAAATCTCAGGTTTGGTTGATCTTCAATGTGTGCCAAACGTGCAGCTGCAAAATGTCCGGTCGATCTGACCAAGAAGCAGAAGGCAAAGTCCAATCAGCGATAGCTGATGTGCCAATGCCAAAAACGTGCAGAATACCACAGCGCCTTTGCTGAATGTCACGCGACAACTGTATCAATTCCAGTTCGACACCAAAATGGGAGGAAAATGCATTCACAAGTCTCGTCAATATGCACCAGGCATATCATGTCCATGTGAAAATAGTCAACCAGGAATAAGTCCATCATCTGTCATCATCCATACTCTGCGTATTTCAAACATATCTGAACATATCATCAACACAAACAGTTGGGTCCAGAAGAGGGCTTGACATGTTTTCCGACAGGGGACATGCCACTGAAATACCTCCTTGCTCCCTTCGTGGCAGAAAACATGGCTACGTTGGTTGCAGGAAGAACTGAGCCTGCGTGCATAAGTTCATTCAGGCCACAATTCCATCGTATTTCAATCATGACAATGACTCTTACTGAGAGTCCTGCAATTTGGAAGCTGGATTCGGATCAGAATTCTCCAAGGGACCTACACGTCCAAACCAGCACACCCATCTCAGAGCCAAATTTCCGGTAACCTGCAGACAATGAGGAACGACAACATCAGGGATACACTTCCTACGAGCCATAGATCTTCAAGAGATGTCAAAAGGCATGGTGAATTCTTCTAGGGTGCAGCTTGAAGCCCTAAAGCAATCACACCAACAGAACTCTGATCTCATCTTAGCTGTCTGCATTTATCTAATCTCACACAAGTCAATGTTCTGTTTGCCCTGACAACGACCCTGAGATTCTTTGCTTCGCTCAATCCAGCAAAGCTATGCAACATTTCCGCAAGGGGTTGCATTAAATCAATAATATTCCATCAACTGATCTACATCGTGATGAATTGTTACCTAGCGGAACAATGTGGGATTTGTCATCTTTTAGTTTAATACTGATGACCCTGGACTGCATTGAACAAACTGCAGGCAGAGGAACGCCATCTCCATCGGTGGCTTCAGGATGCTGCAAACAGCGAATCGAGGTCGACAGCAATGTCAGGCACAACCTTAGAGTATCACCGTGAGCTTTCTCATGTCCATGCAAGGTACATGGAGGTTTCCTAATGGAAATAATGGATGGTTTATAATGGAAAAATCCTAATAAGATGGATGATTTAGATTGATTTAGGGGTACCATGGATTGGAAACCTACGGAAACCTCCACATCTGAATATCGTTTTTGAGGTGACCACGCCGAAAGGAAGAGAGCACCATGTCCATCATCAAGCAGCGAAGAAAGGCGGAGAAATGCACAGAGGTGCAAACATGGCACTGCACCATCTCATCCAAGCAGCGATTGAATGCAAACCAAGCGCAGTCGAAAATAAGCTAAGGAGGTCTCACCTTCCAGAGACTTGTCAAATCAACTGCAGAGCTTAAAAGGTGCAAATGGCAAAAGCTGCACGGATCACAAAGGAAGGCCACAGTTTCGAGATGGTCAGATCTAGTGATTCGGATAGATACGAGTGTCAAACAGTCCAAACACACGTAGTTTACACGTAGTCTACCTGCGAACTACACGTAGTCTACGTAGTTGTTGATGTTCAACGTGTTTCAACGCTTCACATTGTGCGCCTTGTGGCAAAAAACTCTGCAAGCCCCATCTCTCCAGCCAGGTGAAGCTCTTCGGCACCAATGTCGTTGGTGTTTCCGGTAAGCCTGAGCTGAACCTACCCTCAGTATCCCTCAGTGTCATCAAACCTTCCTGGAACATACCCCATTTAGCGCGATATAGATCGATATAGTGCGAAGTTTTTTGTCCCATTATAGAAACATATTAGAAACCCTCCATTTTACCCTCCATTTTCTCTAGGAATGAACACCAAAGAAATGGACATGGTATGACATGGTTAAAAACTCCCAACATCCCATGGTTTCGAACTGTTTAGAACTCGAACTGTTCCCTATGATTTGATAGGGAATATACACCATTTTCACACACACACACATATTCTGCAAGTCAGGTCACTGCAAATACCATCAGGAAAAAAAAACAAAATTTGGCTCTGGTTTGGATTGGAAACCGCATGAAACCGCTAGCCGCTACGTGAATGGAACATGGTGCAATCGATGAACCGCTCACAGATTTGTGAGTGCATTCTGTCGATGTGTTGATTTCAGTCAGGAACCATCTGGTTCAATTCGTTCGTAGAGCCAGAAATCGCCAGAAATGCAAACCAGGAGGCAACTCAAGTAAACGTTGTAGATGTAGAAGAGCACAGCATACAACGATAAGTACTGCAAAGCCAATCTCCTTGGCTCCACCGGGAAAAATATTTGCACGAGGTTTCGAATAGAATATCCACGGGTTATAGTCCAATATCATCCAATATCATCATCAATCATCATCAATCATCATCAATCATCATCAATATCTGGATGTTTAGGGACTTAGGGACCTAAATCATCCATAAAATAAGGGATGCAAACGGATTCTCGGGATCAACAAACATTAAAAAAAAAAACTCTGAAGAAATCCGGGTCTCAAAGGCCGAGCTTTTACAGGCACCACAAGCAACAGCAGCGCTCCTGGTGAGGGGTCCCAGAGGTCCCAGCCATCTTTCTAGCCATGAAAAGAATGGGAGAAAATGGGAGAATGTCTATGATTCTCATTGATTCTCATTGATGATAAAGATTGATTCCTCCTACAACATCCTCTCATGTCCCTTTTCTGAAGGGAACATCACTTGCATGTGGGGTAGGTTCGTGACACTAGGCACCCATCATCACCCATCATCACCCATCATCACCCATCATCACCCATCATCACCCATCATCACCCATCATCACCCATCATCACCCATCTCAATCAGATTCAGATTCAGCTAGGATTTAGTTCAACATCACACGATTCCACCCGTTGGAACTCCGTTGTGTCGCCCCCCGCCCCAGCCCCGACCCTGGGACATCCTGTGACGACCCTGAAGTCCTGCCATCAGTGGTGCTGTTGGCAAACTGGGCCAAGTGAAGCTCCAAAGTAGCAGTGAGGCCACGGGGAATATCGGGCCTGCGCCGTGGCACACGTGGCCACGTCGTCCCAAATGAAATCTCATGAAATATCAACTCGAACACACGTGATCAAGGGACTATAATGAAAATATGCAAAAATAGAATAAAAATGAATAATTAAAATAGAATTAAAATAGAATCTAATGAGAATTCAATAAGGAGAATCTATTGAGAATGATGGACAATGCGTTGGCGCATGTTGGCGCATCAAATTTCAAGGAACCTATCAATGCTGTACACTTTAGTGGACTTCAACAACTGATAGGTTCGACTGCCCAAGCGCCTCGGGCAAAGCGTCTGAGCCATGGCAAGATGCTGTTGATCCAGGTGCTAGATCTGGAAGGCAATCTGCTGTGACCTGAAAATCCGTGAGAAAAATCTGGCTCGGTAGACTATCATCTCGTGTCTGTTCATTTGGGTCGTGACCGTGGAGATATACCAGGTTGCTTTTGCATCAAGAACAGTTAAACATGTTGTGAGCTTTATGTTTGTGTTGCGCCTGCTTCGCATGAGTATGACTTGTGGTTTGATCTGACAGAATGCCCAAAGATTTCCGCACCAAGGTAAAATGAAACACCAGGACCGCAGCTTGTGCTGGTTCTCCATATAAAATCCATCAGTGCTGGTCATTGGAGGTGTCAGGACCAAGAGACGGCTCACAGCTTCGCTCCCTTGCGATGACCTGCTGGCCCAGTTTGGATTGGGATCCTGTTAACAAGAACCACTGTCCAGTGAACTTACGCATTTTCGGGGACAAAAGAAGTTGCAAGCTTAAACACCAGGAATAGGAAGCACATGGAAACACATGGAAACACCACTCTAGGACCCTTTGATTGTTGCAATATGTTGGAATAGGTTGGAATATGTTGGAATGGATCACTACTGGGAATCTTTTTTTTGACAGTTGGCGGCACCACCAGCTTCCGCCTGCCTTGCCCTGGTTCCAAACCTCATCCGACAGTCTGATTCATACGATGCGACATGTGACACAAATCCCCAACCACCGATCCAACCAGTATCAGATCAGCATCATGTATGGAACTGTCCCAATTCATGGCTGGGATTGTTCCCCAATATATTGGTGAGTATGATATAGTATCATTAATCCCCAAGAATTTCTAATAATCATGCAGATATTCCCCTAAGGTAATCTGATATGTCCATATATGTTCCATATTTTTTCCCTATAGTTCCCTATAATCAACCAACCGATCGTTTTTCCCGCCGCCACTGCAATACATGCGGCGTCTGCGTCTGCGTCTCCGAGAGCTGTAGCTCCCCAAGTCCTGGTGGGAGCGCTGCGATTCGAGGTCTTTGGGAGCAGTGCCACCCTAGTTTTTTAGCCATGTATATAGTGGGATTTAGTATATTTATAACATTATTTAACAGTATTTAACATTATTTAACTATATTTTATATTTGGGATTTGGGATTGAATGGGATTTAGTGGGATCTCTTGGGATGAATCAACAATGGGATTTTAATCCATTACAGATATTAACCCTTAAATCAGAAACGTGCCCAAGGCAGCATTTTAGATGCTCCGACCTGCAGTCAAGTTTCCAGTGCGAGTGGTGTTTGCCTCCATGAATGGCTGCTGCGCAGCGGGAAGGCTAGGGAAGTCTGACCTGAGAGAGGATTTGTTTGATCATTTACCTGCCGTTTGTTGCATACATTCACCTGCGGTTAACGATACATGGATGACCCTGTTGCCGTTTGCTGCCTGGATGGACGCCAGAGCAAAACCTCTGCCAGCAGAAAGACTGCCACTGCCTGGGCCTTGGATGCCAGGCACAGCTCGAGGCTCCAGCTTGGCATTTTGGAGTGCTCCAAACTTGGGGGAGCCACAGCATACACGCTAAAATGATCTAAAATGGTCAACCATGGGAAAACCCACCAGTTGTGGTCTCCATTTTTTTGTTTGGGATGCAGACCCCAACCATACCCTAAACATTTTTCAGCATGTTTCACTGTCTACATCCGTTCCCAGCTGGGAGCCCCACAGCTGTAGCACCTGCCTGGTTGGCTCCCAGAAGTTTCAGCAGCCAGGGCTGAGACGCTGCATCTGGAAATTCTGCGGAGGACAGGAGAATCACCGTGGCCACATGGAGGAGCGCAAAACTCGGGAGCCGGGAAGCCGGTAAGCCATGGGGTTTTTACTCCGAATAATCTCCAAATATAGCTATCCTATAGGAGGATTCATGGGGGGATCTATAAACTGACCCAAAAAAAACTCAGGGAACTAATCGGGGAGCACTGGATCTTAGGGATTCTAGTGATAGTCAGTGATCCTCGGTGATAGTCTCAAGTGAATGGATGATATGCAACGTGCATGGTGTGGTGTGAAGCACCAAGCAATTTCGATGTGAATTCTACAGCATGCATTAAAGTGATTGGCAATGCTTTGCCCTGCGCTATGAATGTCGATGTGACATGTCGTAATGCAACACGATCGCTGACAGGAACGTGGCTTGAAATCTAGCCTTTGATTACAACAGAAGGTAAAGAGCCTTTAGCGCATCTAGCATCGTCTAGCATCCTTCCTGGCTCACGCGACATCCACTCTGAATATGACTTCATAATCTCTGAATCACTTGGAAGTTTCCATGAGGGTATCTCCAAATCCAAGTCATTAGATCATTTTAGATCATTTTAGATCATAAATTGGGGTATTGAAACAACATGAAACAACCATGGCTAAAATTGGGATCCAAAACATTTTAAGAAACCCCAAAAAAGTGCTCTTCTCTCCGGTTCACGCTGCCAGGCTGCCAACAAAGTGACGTTTGAAAGTGCCGGCTTCCTGGATGGGCACGAGGGGGCCAACAACTGGACACGGCGAATGGCCGTTTTTTGAGGCCGTTGACCTAGAGCAGTACCATAGTAGATCTATATGTAGAAAAAAGCACCCCCCAAAAAAATGGAGAAGATTGGAGAAGTATCTATAATGCCCAAATTAATTCCCCCCTATGTCAGTTTTACAGTAAATATGTTAAATGGATTTGACGAAGATCTATCTTTTTGGGGCTACAGCATTCCGGTCTCCCATGGCGGCATCAAGGCACCAGTCACATAGGTCAGCTGCCCCTGAGACAAGCGCAGCAAAATCCAGACCAGGGCGCCATGGTATACCACACCTGAAAGGCCGGGGATGGATCTTCAGCCCCCCAAAATATGGAAAAAAAATGAAAAAAAAACTAGGTTTTGACACATCCTGATTTGGGTTTATCTGAAAATTGTGGGAAAAAAGAAGACATATGCCATCGATTACTCTGGTTCATCATATATGTTTATATGTTCCATATTTGTTCCACATATGTTCCACATATGTTCCATAGTTATTCATGCTAGATCTACCACAGTTTCACATCCATTTCTGGAGGACCATGTGGGGTGCTCGGTCAAGGTGCTGAATGCGTTGAAGTCCAACGTAGCACCTGAGCCCCGCAATGCCCCGCAGCCCCGCGCCGACCGATGCCTGGGATGATCCCATATTGGAATGATAGAAAGATATAGAAAATAGAAAGTTATATAATTATATATAATTAGACCATGTTGGAACATGTTGGAACTATTTTACTATTTAGATCTATTTAGCTGCAACATGCTGTAAATTTATCTTGGATGTTCTTGGGGTGAAACTTCGCTCCAAGGCATTCCAAGGCACAAGTCATCAGCAGAATCACCTCAGCTCTGTTTTTGCACCGGTAAAAAGTGAGCTGCTGAGTGTTTTCTGGGCAAGGTTGAAGATCAGTTCCTCTACAGGGAAAAATGTTGCCTTGTGGATACTGGACATGGCTCAATGTTCGAAACGCAGGCCTTGAGTCAAACAATTCTCTGAACACCAGATTCAAAAATGCTTCTTTTGGGACCACAGGGAGTTTCCAACATCTTTTCCCAAAGATTAACAGAAAATTGAATGAGATGCTGAGATGATGAATATCATTGAGTATCAGCCAAGATTCGATGGCCAAATTTCCACATTTACTTTGTCCATGTTGTCCATCTGCATCTTCCCGCAGTTCCAGGTGACTACCACTGCGCCGACTCCGCGGCGGATCTTCCAGGCTTCGAACATTCGAAAGGGCCACCGAGATCGATGCAGAAAGGAAGCAGATCACCTCAGGGCAGTGGAACCAGGCTCAAAATGGGCTAAGTTTCCACCAGTTCATTGCCAGTTGTTTGAATGGGAAAGATTATTAAGTCGCTGGAATGCCATGTTTTCAAACGAACCCTCATCAGGAGCCTTTCAGAAGCCATGACTCCACGGCAATTTAAAAGTATGCGAAAGAGTGACAGGGCAACACCTTCTTCAAGTAGGTACCCTTGCACTAGCCCTAGAGCATTTCTGACTACCACGGGGTCATACAGTACCAAGAAACGGAACCCATCAAGCTGTAGACCCTTCCATGAGGTAGTTTTCGAGGTCGAACAGCACTTGTCGAACGGCACTACTTTTACGATTGGAAAAGCGAAGAATATGCCCTTTCACAAACGCATCAAAAATGCAAAAGAGCTGAATATCTGAAGCATTCCACCTTCCGAGAGCAGTCTGATTCCTCCGCTTCAACCCTCTCCACATGCAGAGTTGCCAAGAAATGCATAGTCACAATGCTCCCGTTTTTGGCCCCTACTCCTTCTTGTTCATCACCAGTTTTAATCCCAATTAACCAGGGAACACTGCTAATTAGCCCAAACCTTGGGCAGGATTGCAGCTACAGCCCTCCCCCATGCTTCCCTGTGCCAAGCCACTTCCCAGAATGACCAAGGATGGCAGGTGTCTGTTCCGATACCTCCTAGGCCCAGCCAAGCAATCCATGAACGGAGGGATGCCTGAGGTCGGAAGACAGGAGCCCGAAAAAGCAAGAAGCACAAAGCCTCGCACCAAGCTGACCAACGCGCGAAGTTTACACCAACTGCTGCAACAACAACAACAACAACAACAACAACACCAGCAGCAGCAGCAGCAGCAGCAACAGCAACAGCAACAGCAACAGCAACAGCAGCAACAACAACAACAACAACACCAGCAGCAGCAGTAGCAGCAGCAGCACAACTAGCACAACTAGCACAACTAGCACAACTAGCACAACTAGCACAACTAGCACAACTAGCACACCACTACCTGCGGCGGAATGCTGCTGAGGGTGCAGGGCATATGCCATGTAGTCTGTTTCTGTCAAAGATGCTGGAAGCGCATCAGCATGACACAAGATCTGCACTGTTTGCGAGGCAATTGCCAACAGTGCCGTGATGACCAGAACGGCAATATGCCTCAGATGATCAGGTTCTTGCATGTTCTTTCCATTTAATATCAGTTAATGGTGAATATGAGTTACCATGATATACCACTATGATAGCCATGCCATAGATCCTTAGCTCCCTCCAAACCACCGGAGAGTTGATTGCTGGTGGGATATCAGCCACTTAGTCCAAGCCACGTGCGGCGCCAAGTGCTTGGTTCTGAAGCACCTGAGGGGCTCAGTGACATGGTCACTTCCAGTGAGGTGGAGAAATGGAATAAGTAAGAATAAGCCAAGTCATCTGTTGCATCAAAAAAATGGTTGTATATTTGCTAAATGCTAAACATCTGCATTTTTTTCTGGTAGGTCTCTTCACCCATACCCCACATGCCCAACAAACACGTTTTAACAAAGACTGGAAGTCAGTTGTCATCACCATCCCAGCCCACTTCGGCACCCGCAAGGCAAATGGGTAGAACCAACAGCGCCGCAACAGCCATGAAAAAGTCGCCTTGGAAAACAACATGAAATCCTTGTATTTCAATGCCTCAGGACATTTTTCTTACAACATCAAACATGAAAGTAGACACATATCTGTACGATTGACATCGATTGACCTTACTATGTATCTTGTAGCAACTTCGGCATATTCATACATATGATATAAATTGATATCATATGATGAATATGATGTGCATATGCAGTGTGTTGTTCGCGGATGGCAGTTCAAACACCGTCTGGTTGGTGGATCTTCCCTGGCAACATGATCAAAACTGAAAGCATCAAACACCAGGCCTAGAACACTTTTGCAACGCGCAAAGCCAGTGGCAAGGAAGATGGCAGCAAAAATATACCTGAGATGCGGTTCTTCTGGTGAGGGACACCCAGGCAGCAAAGTGGTTCCCTTTTAAGTTGACCAACTGACCGCTTTTTGCGGCTTCCGAATTTTGAGAGCTTCCAACAAGTCCTGAGATGAAAAAGGTATTGCAATGCAACCCGTGTTTGTCCTGACCACTAACGCATGCATCTGACCTTGCGATCTGCTGTTAGCTCCTGCAATCATTTGCCAAGGTGCCGGAACCATGCCTGAGACTTCGCACGAGTTCGCGGAAATATGAGTGGTGAAAACAATTTAAGTCTTTCTACGGCTCAATCTGTGTAGATTTCTGGGTTTTCGTGCCCACTGTGCAGGTCGCCAGGCAATTCGTGCCCACTATGCAGGTAAAAACACGAGTATTGATGACTGAGTTTGTCACATGCGGAAGCTCGTAATCTAGAAAAAAAACTATTAAACCAAAGTGGAGCATACCAACTCAGAACAGGCAGAAGAAGATTTTCTCCAAACAAATTCACACTTGTATGATGGCTGATGCCATCCATGCCAGCAGCCTGCTTTGCGCGCAAAATGAATTTTGCAGCCATGGCAGCGACAAGCAAAATACTGGCAATGCCAGCCAAGCTAAACACGTCAATTCATGTGTGCTTGCAAAGGTCATGTTTGAGGTAGAATGACTGCATCTCAAAGAAAAACAAGCTAAGATCTAAGAGGTGGTCGGTGGCCCGAACTGCCAGTAGTCTTCAAATCTGGTTTAAAGGGCGGGAAAATATTGAGTCAAGGAATTCATCTGGTCTACATTGATTGATATACATACAACAAGCAACAACGTTCATCTTACCATCATGGTCCACTTTGACATACTTGTCGGACGACCACTTGTCGGACGACCCCATGTCGTGCTTTGAGCAACCAGAATCCGCCAATATTTGCAAACATGTGCGTGTGTGCTTAAATATCATACAGATATATACAGATTGCATCGCGATTGCCATATGGCAGTGTGTCAAAACCTTGGACCCCTGGTGAACATCAAAATAGCTGGTAAATGGATGTTCATCCCCCTAAAAATGGTATTAATAGGTATTGATCCATAGCCATATAAGTATTCCTTGATATTCCTTGCTATTCCTTCTTGTGTAGTGTTGCTACCTTCAAACTGCAATTGTACAGCACAGCCATGAGCCTGGTCGCCTGGTCCCTCAGGCCATCGGCAGCCCCGCCATTTTTTCGGTGCGAATCAATGGAGGTGCCACGCCAAGTGCCCGAAGATGGTGGATGCTCAGGCCTGGTGACAGACGCTCGGAGTCTCTGCTTTCGAAAAAATGGCTTTTGAAAAAATTGTTTTTTAATATGTTTTAATCTGGTGAAGTCAGGACACACTCATGAAATGCAGGTGAAGTAGGTCAAGCCATTCGGTTCAAGCGAATGTGGAAGAGTGGAAGACTCTCTGAAAATGCAGTGCAACAGGCCATGGCCTCTGCGCGATGGGCCAAGTGATCGATGACAACATTCCAAACGAGGTTGCCAGTGGCCATGGCTTTGACACCTAGATCTCGCTGGCTCACTAGCATATCCAAAAAGGCATTGCTAGTGGCTCAAGAAGACATAAACTTCTAGATGCAGTTCTCATTCCAAATCATCAATTACTGTATCCAAAATGTCTCCTGCCTTCCTTTCCTCCTTTTCTCGGTTGGAAATTGGAAACCAGCGGAAATCCTGAAATGAAAGATGCACCCACTCCGGGTTGAGGATAAGGCGTTGTGCTGGGGCGCAATGTCGCCAGTTTGCCCACCTAAGTTGACTTGGGCAACACAGTAGAAAATTCGCCGCAGGCATCAAGCCTAAGCTTGCCACATGAAGGGTATCCAGAAGCCCGTACAGCTCCTGAGCAATTCGAACCGTCCAAGGTACAAAATGATCCAAATGCCTGGTAAAGGTACTTCCTTTCTTGTGTAAGACCTGAGTCTTGCTCTTATTTATCAGCTACAAGTAGGACGTGATGTTCACGGACCTGCACACGTAGCTTGATTCAGTTTAAACTTCATGAATACTGTAACGCTCACCACTGAGTCAAGCACAGATAGGTGGTCAACCACTCTGTCATCAGGTTGTCCTTCCTTCAGGTGGCAGGGACTCTACAAGTGTGGAGCCCTTGAGATTTGATAGCCGAAAGCCCAAATCTTCCATGCCCCAACAAGGGTTGTTTGGGTCTGTTTGGTGTCAAAGCATAAATCATAACATCGTCCATAAGTCTTGCACCTTCTCGGCTTGTAAGTCTTCTCTTGATCAGTTGTCTTATCTCGGAGTTCAACAGCAGCTTTAAGCCATGACACGACTTCTGAAACGAATCGCCCTGTAGGAGGCCAGCGCCTCATGGTGCAGCCATAGCCACTGGATCCTATTCCCCCGAAACAGCGCTGCACACAAATATGGAGGTGGGAAATGATGTCGCAATGATCCTATTTTCTATACAATTTCATCCC